TCGTATGTTTTGTTATTATTGCATGCTTAGATTACCACTTGTTGTTGCCGTTGTTGTTGTTGTTGTTATTGTTGTTGTTGTTGCTTTTTTCCTATTTCTTTTTTGCCACCGTTGTGGCTGGGGTGCAGGCTTTAGGCCTGTCTCAGACATGTTTTATTTTTTTAATATTTTTTTTTGATTGTGTGTTAATTAACTTTGGCATCAGTCAGTTGCTGGTTTTTGGCCAAGTCTGAGAACAGCTACTGGTCTTTAATATTTTTATATGTTTTCGAAAGGGGAGGGGAACACGGCTGTTTATCACTTGCCAATTCGTGGAAACAGGCAGTAGCCGTTGGTCATAATGTCATCTTCAGCTTTGGCTGTCTGGCTGTCTGGCTGCCTGGCTGCCTGGCTGTTGTTGGGCTTTGGGCTTATTAACCGTTGACATTTGTTTAACGCACGTCGCTTACAGTTAGCTCTATTTAATTTGAAAGCACTGCTTGTGCCGTTATGGCACATTTTCATGTTTTATACGAGCTGCGATTCCCAAGAAAACGAACAAAAACCAGACGGATGGCGACTGGCCCGCGTGCTCCAATTTTCCAGCAAGCGTCAAATTACAAAACACCATCTTTTAAGCCTGGCCAAAATGCGCACAGAGAGCTGCCTATTGGCAACTGTTGGTGCTGCAAAATCAATCAAATCAAATCAAATCCGAATGGGAGTCAATTTGTCTAATGAGCTGTTGCCACAGGTAGTCAAGTGGCCAAGTGGCCAAGTGGCCAACTGGTAACTGAGGTGCTAATAACATCCAATCAATTGAATGAATTGTTCGAACTGCTGCAATGCGTCGCATTTGTAATGCAATTTGCTGCAAATGCTAATGCAGCAGCCACATTCACAGCAGCAGCAGCAGCAGCAGAGGCACAATGCACTCCCCTAGTTTACTGATTGATTAAATAGATATAGATATACATAGATATAGATATACATAGATATATATAGAGTGTGGTATCAGGCGTACAATAAATGCGCATTTAGATGAAATCAACACCCTCACAAAATGTAACCAAATCGAAGGCAAAGTTTGCGACTTATCGCGACAACTAGCGGCATACATTGAACTCATCTAAACTGATCAAAACAATCGCAAAACAAAAACATTCGTCGCATATTTATGAGCTCTCTGCCAGCAGAGATTAGCTGCAGCCAGCAGCCAGCAGCCAGAAATATCTAATCCATTGAATAGCTTAACATCTTTTATAAAGCGGCTTGCATTGAACTTTTTTCCACTCGATAATTGTTTGAGAATGTTCCACAAATTCTTAGCGAAATTTTGGCAAAATATTATACAAAAAAAACTTGCTAAATCTTTTAGAATTTTTAGTTATATATCTAAAGAATTTCAGTTAAAATAGGCTTCAGTGTTGAGCTAAAAATGCAAAAAAAAAAAAAAATACTATAAACATAAAATTTATTTTTCGCAATTGATATTTTTGAAATGTTTAAAGAACTCTCTTTGTATGCAAATATATTGTATAAATTGAGTAGTATTCATTTGATGCAGCTCATTAACTGGCTGCATTTGGTTTTGGAACATAAAATTGGTCAACAATTTGATTCTACTCATAAAAATGCAGCCTTGGCGTGTTGGTCTAGTGGCTGGCACTATATTGCCAAAAATGCAGCCCATATATCATTTATCTATGACAGCTAACAGCTCTTAACTTAATGTGACTGTCTGTGCAAATTGGCAACAGCGCAACTGAAAACTGCACTTGAGTCACTTCCGCTGCACTTTGCAAGGCACTTGCTGCCAAAGAAACTTGGCAACGTCGCAAGTGAACGTCTGCCTTGGCGTGGCTCCAAGCCACCAGTCAAATCAAATAACTGAACAATATGTACATATGTTATATATATATTCATGAGTGTGCACAAGTTTGGGCACACTGTGCGGTCGCATCAATGACCAGAGCTCTTTGCGTTTTCCTGCCACTGCAATTACATTTGCTACATATGTGAATGTGTTTTTCTTGCTGCTGTTCTACGACCAATAAAAAAAAGCACAAGAAAAATCAAGAAAACAAAAACAAAAACCGCAAGCCAGCAAAAATACAAGTACACAAGTATCGCAAAAAATTGATGGCAAAAAAAAAAAAACAGAAACAAAAAATGAAAAATAATAAAAAATACATCGCCCAGATCAAGTCTAGTCAGCGTTTGTCTCTAGTCTCCGTCCGATCTAAACTAGTCGAGGCGTTGCGGTCGTTGTGGCCAAGCAAACAGCAACTAGCGACTAGCAACAGCAACTACCAACTAGCAACAAGCAACTAGCAACAAGCAACAACAACTAGCAACAACAACTAGCAACATCAGAGTGCATTGACGTGTTGTTTGCATGTGTCTGCAGCAGCAGCAGCAGCAGCAGCAGCAGCAGCAGCCGCAGTTAAAGCTCAGCCCATCTCTGTTGGCTCTACTCATGCCCCGGCTCCCCCTCCACCCCCCTCTCCATTACACACATGCATACCTCACCTAACTCTTCTAGCCAAGCAAGTTTCGTTTTTCATTTTTGTTTTTTTTTTCTTTATTTCTGAAGAATCGGCAAATTGCAGAAAACGAGATTTTTTTTGCTGTTTGCGATTTGGCTGGCGTCGAGTACATTGCACTTCTGTAGCTCCAGTACAGCACAGCTACAGTTTCCAGCTGGATTCCGTCAAAGTGTTGGTGTAGTCAAGCTGAGGATCGGTGCCGCATACAGGTACGCTTCATAGAGCCATGCCGATGTTGCACAGTGCAACCAGCTCCATATTTATCATGATTATCTGCTATATTTATCAACTTATATCATTTGTTGTGGCATCTTACAGAAAAGGATATGCCAACGAATAAAGTTTAGTTTTACATTTAAATAAATTACTTTAAATATGTTCAAGTTTTCATATCTGGCAAAGTTTACAATGAAAGTTGAGCTTCAGTTTTTGGAATTGTTTGTGAATTTATTGATTTATTATTAATTTATTTATCTCTGTTATTAGTTTAAGGCATAAGCAGTCTCAACAAACTTAAGCTTTAGACAATATTTAGTACAACTGTGTAAAAATTCGTTGAATATTTTTCTTAGCCATATTTAGAGACCTACTCAAAGTGGCTTTGATTAAAACAGATTCTTGTAAGAAATCCGTCTCAGTTTGTTGACTGTAAATCTAAAGCTGGTTAAGGGCTAAGGGAATTGTCGAAATGTTCAGTTATATATACATATATATTTCGTGTTAACTGCCACACTGTGCCTCGTCCGTCTCCGTTTTGGCACCACGTAGGTTGTTGTCGGTCGTTCGTTGCCGTTGCTGTCGTCGTCGTCGTCTCCGTCGTCGTCTCCGTCGTCGTCGTCGTCGTCGTCGTTGTTGTCGTCTTGAAAACTGGGTCAATCGCTGCTTGGGCTGTTGTTGTCTACGTATTTATTTAGTTTTTTTTTGTGTCTCTTGCATCTCGTTGCCTGGTTCGACTGGATTTGGATGGACAACTGGTTAGGGGCATGGTGAGGTGGGTGGGAGGTGAGGGCCCGGTTAGGGAGTACAGCGTAAAGAGTGTAAATTGCAAACTTTTTATTGCCTTTTCATTTGCCTATATTTCTTTGTGCCCGACTAACTGGTTGACAGCTTAGCGTAGCTTAAGCTCGACAACAAATGCCAAAAAAAAGCACAAAAAATGAATTCAACTACAGCAACTGGGAATTCTCAGAGTAATTCTCTCAGCTTGCAACTTCCGTTCCCCGGTTGACCTTAGTGACCTGCAGTATGTTTGGGTTTCTCTCGTTATTTCGTTCGTTTCGTTTAATTGTCAGTGACATAACTGTTAAACGCACTTTGGCCACTCAAACAAGAGTCATGAGTTGCAAGTTGCGAGCTGCGAGCTGCGAGTCGCGAGTCGCGCGTCTAGACGGAAGAACTCGGTTGCCGTCAACATTCATTCAGAATGCCGGCCGGCTCTTTCTGCCAAAACTGGTTTCTTGTTTCTTCTGGTTGTTGTGGTTCTTCTTCTTCCTCTTCTACTTCTTACTTGTGCCCTGTTCTGTTAGATTCTTAAAAATATTATTCGACTGTTGTTTTTGTTTTTATTTATTTTTTTTGGTTTTTTTTTTAGGGGTTTTCTTTTGTGTCACGAGACCGCAAACGCGGGAGGTGGTTTAGGGCAAAACTTTAATGTCTTTGAGTTCTGCTGAATTTGTGGCATATGCCTGAGAGTTGGTGGATGGAAAACTTTGTACGACTCTGAGATCTACGGAAGATATTACAAGCGTCAGCGTGTGCGGTTAGCTTAAGAGTCTTCACGACTTATTTTTGGTGGAGTTACTCAGGCAGATAAGAAATTATGCAGATAACAAGAATGCCGCAGAGAAAGTTAACAAATTGATGAAATATAATCCCAAATGATAGGAGGATGACAATTTCAATGCCTCACAGCTGGTTGGCTAGGGAAAATTTAGGTTATTTATTAAATAATAGTCAGAAGCAATGTAACTAAAGTGAGGCGTAGTCTGTCAAAGTTTAAACACATTAAGAATTAAGCCTTTTGAAATGTGTAACAAGTTTACACTCAAGTCAGCAACTACAACAAACCTTAACAAAATTTCACAAAAGGTATTCATTTTAATTTTAAATAACTGTTACATAATCAGCTGGTCACTCTAAAGCTTTCACTTAAGAGCTTTCTTGATTTCAAAGTGTTGCCACACTGCTTGCTTTCATTTGCTGGCGACACCTGGCGGAAATCAGTTTAGCTTTTGCCACAAACCACAAAGCAGATGTGAATTGGTTGGAAACTTGGCTAAGCATATTTGGTTCTTTTATCGAGAATATCTCAAAATGAAATCCAAGATAAATCGACAATTTAATAGTTTATTTCTTTAGGAGATCATAAGTGCTTAGCATACTTATATTTATTTGAAGATATACATAATATTTAAAAGCATTTGTTCGGGAACATCTACAAATTTGAAGTAAAAACACAAAGCGAATGTAAAATTGTTTTTTTTTAGCAAATTTGCATTTTATTGAAAAAGTTTTTGCAGCATATTATTATTATTCAAGTTTAGTTAAATACTTGGGTACTTTTTAAAGACTACTAGAGGATTATGCACAGGAATACAGAAACATGTGTGTTGTGCTTAAGAATAATACAATGATAATATTCAAATTGTTCTTTTTTTTGTTTCTTTTTTTTGTTGATTTTTGTTTTGCTTTCAATAGGATCGATCTTTGGGTGCGCTCAGAGTACAAAGTACTCGTAATATTGCCATTGAGTCCAAACTTTTGCCTGTCCGTCAGTCTTCGGTGCAATTTGAAATATTGTTTGTTGAAGTATTTTCTTTTCTTGAGAATTGTGCAGTATTTTTTTTTCCTTTTTGTTGTCGATGTTTTTGTAAATTGTATATTTGAAATAGTAAAATGTTTTGCATATAAATAATGATGTATATTAAAAATGTTATAAAATTGTGACTTAAATTATTGAGAGCTGATGCAGGGGGGTGGCAATGAGGGGGGTGTGGGGGCAGTAGGGGGTAAGCAGTTGAAGAAAAGATTGAAGAAAAATGGCTGCGAGAAATGCGATAGACGTGCCTCCGTGTAAAGTGTAGCGTAGAATGAAGAATAAGATTGAAAGATAGATGTGAATGCGATTAAAAATATGAATAGTGAGTAGTGAATAGTGAATAGAAGTGAGTAGTGAATAATGAGTGAATGCTTTTAAAAGGAAGCATGTGAAATGAAATTAAATGAAATGAGAGCTTTGGACCATTTCCGGCTGATGATGTTTCGATTGCTGTCAAACTACGCTTGACATTTCCTGTATGCATGTATGTGTGTGTATGTGTGTGAGTGTGAGTGAGAGTGTGTGTGTGAGTGAGTGTATTTGTATTTCTGTGTGTGTGTCTCTTGTAGTCGCTTGCGTCTTTAGAGGATGATGCAGTGTTTGGCGCGTAGCTGATGCCGCATGCCACGCAGAAACACATTCCGTGTACCACTGGCACCACTGGCGACACCAGCGGCGCCACCGGCACCACTGCCAAAGACGAGACGCTCACGCACGCACCTCATTCCTCTGGCCACACCATTAAATACAATCGCCTTCGACCTCCTCCTGGTTAACATCCGGATCGAACTCGTCGTCGGCGGTGGCCTCCTGATACTGTTGATATTCCGAAACCAGATCGTTCATATTGCTCTCCGCCTCGGTGAACTCCATCTCGTCCATGCCCTCGCCGGTATACCAATGGAGGAAAGCCTTGCGACGGAACATGGCCGAGAATTGCTCAGAGATGCGCTTGAACAGCTCCTGTATAGCGGTGGTATTGCCAATGAATGTCGACGACATCTTCAGCCCCTTGGGCGGTATATCGCAGACAGCCGTCTTCACATTGTTCGGTATCCATTCGACAAAGTACGAGCTGTTCTTGTTCTGCACCGCCAGCATCTGCTCGTCCACCTCCTTCATGGACATGCGACCGCGGAAGACGGCGGCCACAGTCAGATAGCGACCGTGACGCGGATCACAGGCGGCCATCATATTCTTGGCATCGAACATCTGTTGGGTCAGCTCCGGTACGGTTAGGGCACGATACTGCTGTGATCCGCGCGATGTGAGCGGCGCAAAGCCGGGCATAAAGAAATGCAGACGCGGGAATGGAACCATATTCACAGCCAGCTTGCGCAGATCGGCGTTCAGCTGGCCGGGGAAGCGCAGGCAGGTGGTCACACCGGACATGGTCAGCGAGACGAGATGGTTGAGATCGCCATAGCTCGGATTCGATACCTTCAGTGTGCGGAAACAGATATCGTACAGCGCCTCATTGTCGATGCAGTACGTCTCGTCCGTGTTCTCCACCAGCTGATGGATCGACAGCGTGGCATTGTACGGCTCCACAACCGTATCGGACACCTTGGGCGATGGCACCACCGAATACGTGTTCATTATGCGATCCGGATACTCCTCGCGTATCTTCGATATGAGCAGTGTGCCCATGCCCGAGCCAGTTCCACCGCCCAGCGAGTGCGTCAGCTGGAAGCCCTGAAATTACCAATGGAAAACATATAAAACTAGTATCAAATATCCATTAAATATGCACAATTGTGCTTCAACTGTCCAACAAATGTAGCCATGCCCGTTTGTATAAGCAATCGCAGCCGTTGCCAGGACATCTCCTAGTTGAGCCGTCCTGATTGGAGCATTCTCATTTGGTCAAGGATTTGTGCAGAAGTTTCAAGTTTTTAAAATTTTGTTTAATCTATTTTTTTTAAAGAGATCCAGCCATGCTCAAAAAGTCATCGTTTTTGAAAATCGAATCAGTTTAGACAAATTGATGATTATCGAAAGTTGGTTTTATTGGCTTAACATTTTCACATGATTTTCAAAACTGAATTTCGTTTCCAACTTTGAACTTAAAATTGTTCTAAAGTTCTCTTTAAGTTCTGACAAAGTTATAAGACTGGAAAGCATATTTTGATTATGATTTTGAAGCCAGCAACTCAGTTTCAAATTTCAATTTTACATTGAACAGATGCGAATAGGGTATCTCCTAGTCAGAATATACCGACTAGAGCAGTCTTGGTCGACAGTATTTAATGCAGTATAAATTATAATAACATCTATTAAAATTCGGGCTGCAATTTCTCCAGCTACCCTCAATCTGAGCAGGTTAAAGAGCTTACCTGGAGACAGTCGCAATTCTCGCACTCCTTGCGCACCACGTCGAGGACATTGTCAACCAGCTCGGCACCCTCCGTATAGTGGCCCTTGGCCCAGTTGTTGCCGGCGCCCGATTGCCCAAAGACAAAGTTATCGGGACGGAACAGCTGGCCATAGGGACCCGAACGCACCGACTCCATGGTGCCGGGCTCCAGATCGAGCAGAATGGCGCGTGGCACATACTTGCCACCAGACGAACGACTCACAGCTATTGGAATGCAATTTCATATAAAAAAAAAAGGGACATGAGTCAGCGGCCAAGATGGCAGAGAGATGGATGGATGGATGGATGGGGAGCACTTACCAGCTGCTTCATTATAGTAGACGCTGACACGTTCCAGCTGCAGATCGCTGTCGCCCACATAAATGCCTTGGCTGTCAATGCCATGCTCCTCCGATATGATCTCCCAGAACTGCAAAAGAATTGAAAGAAATAAAGCAGGATTAGTCATTGTTTTTTGCTTACTTAGTCGAGATCAGTTAAGAGATCCTTTAACAATATCAAAACTTGAATTGCGAGCTGTCGTCATAAATAAACCAAAGACTAGTTCTAAATTTAAATGGTTTATGTGACACCTCTTCGCTTTTAACGACGAGCTGAGAAATGTACAGTAATAATTATCATGTTTATAACAATTTAATGACTTTGGCGGGTGTCACCATAAAAAAGATACAACAAGAGCTACTGCAGCTATTTTTATGACAGTCGTCAGGGGCTCAGATTTTAAGACACACAAGGGGGGAAAACTCTGTGAAGTTGAGCAGCATTCGAGTGTCTATTTTGGATATCTTGGCGACATCAGAGCCATCAATTGGGCATATTTATTTATATATAACTACAATCGAATTTACGATTATTTAAAAGCAGCGAAAAAACTATCAAATGTGATAATTAAATAGTAAAATCCATTGTCTGGCTTGGTGCATAATGATACTTGATCGTTATGGGGAAATAAGTACAAAAGCGACGCATTTAAGGCATGTAATGATAAAAATGTAACACTATCATTCAAACAGAACCCATATGCGTATTTTTGTTTTTTTGTTTTGTTGTTAAGGCTGTCAGCTACTGTGCATATATATATATATATATATATAATGACTGACATGATAAGAGAGGTTCTCAACTCGAGATAGTCGCGAATGCAATGCAAATTGTTATCTTTAGCTGCGGCTGCTGTGGCTAAACTGTTAAACCGTAGGCCAATTTCAATATATATCTCTCTGGGGTCAGTCATCTGTCAAACTCTTGGCCGCATCTTCTCGACTTTTGACGTTTGTCAAATAGAATTACGAGCTGTGTGCCCAGCCAGCCATGTCAGAGTTCATGTTGCCAGCCGCAGAAACCGTTCACAGCGCAAAAAAAAATAAGAAAAACAACAAAAAAATGAAGAAACATATACAAATTATTAGAAAATTTCTTTTATACTCGCTTGTGCCGCTGTGTGGCAGCATTGTGACAATGTGACAACGAACTAGGCGCAGTCTCAGCGCCATAAAATTGTTGTTGTTTTTTTCTTTCTTTCAGTTTTTAATATTTTTTTTAAGGTTTTTTTTTTTGGTTTGAAAAAATAGAAAAAAAGAAAATGGAAAGAGAGATGGGACAGCTTGAAAAGTGAGACACATTGTACGTTGTTGAGGCTGACAATTTATGTTTAGTTTAGCCGTCAGAGTTTCAGAGTTTGGTGGATCTCTGCTCCAACATGCCCTGATTTAGTGCTAAATTTAAAGAGAAACAGCGCTGGCAACCGCACGCAATCCAAAATAGTTTTTCCGCTTTTGGTTTGGCTTTTTCTTTGCTTATATATATATATAGTTATATATATATATATTTTTATTTTTTTCTGTTGAATATATTTCAGTGCAGCGTGTCGCGGCATGGGACATTTCCAAGTTGAGTCTTCATTCCTATACGCTCCTGGGGTGCAATGTGCAACCTTATGCAGGCGAAAGTGTTAAAAATAGCACTGCCTCGTGGCGCGCTGTTGCACGTTGCATGTTGGGCACTATAGGCACTGGCCAGATACAACAAAAAAATGTATCTGCTGCCTGCCTGCTGCTGCTGCTGCTGCTGAGTCATAGCTGAACTGCAGGCCAACGACCCAGGCCGGCACAGCTCGCAGTTACTAAATTAACCCAGCAGACGCCAGTTGTAGACATCGACAACATCATTAGAAGGCAACCAAACACACAAAAACAATTACATACATTCCGATCGCAGCTGAAGCAAATCAAAAAAGATACTTGCGTATCTCTTAGATACGAACTGTTCATTGATGTTGTTGCCCCCTCGATTAGCTTAGCATTCATTGCGGAAGCGCGCTGCAAATGTTTTGCTGCGTTTAACAAGCCAACGATTCCATTTGTTGACCAAAAATGGAACGCATTAGTTTTTCATTAACAACAAAACGATCTCTTTGCCCCCCTTCCCCACCAACAAATTGATCCCATTCAAGCGAGACGCATAAATCGTCCCGAAATTTCAAAAATTCCAATTCGATTCGAAACGAAATAAACAGAAACGACTAGCGAGGAAATAATAAAAATGTTATCGCTTGAAGTGCCACTGCTGTGATCCGCTTTAATTCCTTAGTTGCCCTTGCCCATTCCCATTCCCAATTCCCAGTTCTCAGTTCTCATTTCCAGATTCTCAATTCTCTACATTGTTGTCTGTCGCATTTCCCTTTGCCACTTGAACTTGAGGTGTGTCTGTGTGTGTGTGTTAAAAAGGAGAAACAGTTGCTGCCTCAGTTCGGGCCTTGTTCAATGACAGCCAATTGTGTTTGTGTTTGCTTTTGTTTATTTGAAAGGCAACTCAACTAGTAAATTGTATGTATGTACAATCTCCGCAAGATCATCAAATTTAATTGGAGTGTGGCCGTTGCAATTATGAAGCTTGCTGCAACTGCAGCAGCAGCAGCAGCAGCAACAATAAAGCGCAGTTTATATGCCGGACGAGAGCGCTTAGAGGCATACACAATGAACAACGAAATCATGCAACCGACTTGGGGCAGCAGCAACAAAAATAAATTAGCACACAAAACTGTTGAAGTGAAAAGTCGTTTTTCATGTTGCTTCTACACATTTCTTCTATCTTTTCATACCCAGCGATCGCTTTACTTTCAACTAATTTTTCTTGTTTTCTGCTTTTGATAGTTACGGGAAATTGCTTCTTTTTTTGTTTTTTTTTTTTTCGGCTAACTGCATTGATTGCTTGGGGAAATGGTCACTGGACAGGAGGATGCCCAGGGAGCGGGTGGCGGGTGGCGGGGCTATATTAACCAAGTCCAGCTGTGTAAATTGGTTTTAGCTGCGTCACATTCCTGTGATAGCTTACACGGAATGCATTAGATTTCCTATTACAAACGGTGAGAACGTGAAGTGAGTCACTAATAAAAGTTTGGACATGGACTTATCAGCAGCACGATCTGTCGAGAAAAGTGGGAAAAACAATTATAAGCCGCACATAAAAACTGTTGGCAAGAAAATGCTGAAAATTCGTTGATGGTAAAAGTGATAAATGATCGTTTGATACGGGGTAAACTATATATATATATATATATTAGATTGGGTATCACGATCTTAAAACAATTTTCGTGATCATGCTGCTTAAAGAAAGTCTACTTGAGATAGGCGTGAGAAATCGTATTTCAATTAATAAAGTGAAAAATAATATATATTTTTAACAAAATTATGAAGTGCTTAGTTTTGCATAAGTATTTCATAATTGTGTATAAAAATGCATTGTTTAATTTGCTTACACATTATGTCTTTGAGTTGGTCTCGCTGCTGTTACAAAATATTTGCTTTTCTATTCACATAAAAATGACTCAAGAAAAGTTTTGCAAAAGATTTCTCTGCATGATTCAGGCAAAAAGTGCAAAAACAAACACTTTTGCTCCGCACGGCTTAATAATATTTCTCGAGAAACTATTAGAAAAAGTGATACATAAATAAATAGAAGAAAAGAGCTATATATATATATATATATATATATATACACACAGCTATATATATATTTAATGCCTGTGCACAGTTACTGTCTGGTAAATTCAATTTTTGAAAGCTCAGAAACGAAAACTCGAATAAAAAATCGTAATTTATTTGCCAAGTCTTTATTGTTGGCTGCCTCTTCTGGCTGCCACTTGCCACTCGCCTGCTGGCAGCTAGAAACTTTAGAGACTTCCAATTAGTTGTAAATGCCACGCCTCCGTCAACACGCCTCCCCCTTTAGCGCATGCGATCAGCTGCCGACTGTTGCCGACGCCCTCATTAAGTGTTGCATGTCTGTAGTTGCCCCAACGCTGCATCGCCGCCAGTCTTGCAGTCGGTGCCTCTTGAAATCACTCGGGCATGAACTTTTGGAGCCGGAGAACACTGTCTGAAGCACAAAAGTCTTCTAAAAAAAAAAAACATATATCTTCAACAAGTCCAGCCCGTCTGCAGCTGGTGCACTGATCGCTTGCAGCTTGTAGCTTTTGCTTTGGCTATATAGCTTTTCCGGCAGCCCTTGAAAAAAAAAAAGATATGCAAAAATGCATTTTCACATGATGCCTGCCATTTGAGCATCAAACAGCTGCCTCCCCAACCCCCCCAGACCCGCCACCCAACCAACTTTGACGCTTGCCAGCCTATCAAAAGCATTTGTCTTTGCTCAGCAGCTGTTTGTTGCCTGCGTTGTTCTTCTCCAAGTCAGACGAGGGCGATAATAAATCTTTCACAAGAAGTACAAAAAAACGACCGCAAGTTTGTTGACTTTGTCAGGGAGTGCATGCATACATATATCTGAAATTATAATTCCTATATATATATATATGGAATATATAAATACGATGCTGATTATTTAAAATGCATTTGTCGTCGTCGTGTGGGCAAAAAACAAAAAAAAACGAAAAAAAACGGAAACGCCCAAATCATATGCGATCAGCCCCTATCCTGTAACTGAAGACGTGGCAGCCACAGTCAATCCTTCAAGTCGACTCTGTTGCCATATTGATTCACTGAGTCATTTCCTTTGTTGCACTTGTGCGGTTTTCAATTGCGATTGCGATACGTAATTAAACATGTGGGCATGCTTAGGTAGCAGTCAGCCAGTCAGCCAGATAGCCAGATAGACAGCCAGCCAGTCAGTCCAGTTGTTGTGTTCTTGCCACACATTTGAAGTTGTCCACTCAGCTGTTCTTCTTTTTATGATGTACTTATTTTTTTGTTTCTTTCTTTCTTAGGTCTCTCCCTCTCTCTGTGTTTCAAAAATCTGATGGGTAATGTGAAACCAGCGGTTTGCTCAAATTACCAAGTCGGCTTCAGCGCCGTCGTCTGCCTTAGATAAACACTATGAGTATTTCATTCATGGACAAAGCGAAAAGTAAGCAGATACATAAACAGATGTATGCAATATATACGTATTAAGTGTGTGTGTGCTCCGTGCTCCATAAAAACCATTACTATGCCGAATTTCTGAGAACTACAAAACTGTTAGCGCTAAATTAAGCGACACTAAACACCCCCCGCTCCACACACTCGTTGGAGCCACATTTCTCGCAAATCGCAAAAATCCACAAACCACAATTGAGTCATATGTCTGTATAAATGTGTAGAAAGAAATAAATTTACTACGTTTGCTTATCTTTTGCTTGAGTTGAGTTTAATTTAATAATGCTTATAGTTAAATCATCGCTTGATTGGCTTTTATCAGCACTCGTGCAACGTGACACACTTTCTGGTTGCCGCAAACATTTTCAAGTCAAGCATTGACATTGATTTTCGATCACAAATCGACCGTGCTACACATGTCAATGCCTTTCAACAACAAAAAATTAAATACAAACCGGTTACAAGTTGCCAAAAAAATTGCAAAAAATTAAATTCCAAAAAAAAAACGAAAAAAGAAAAAGAGATACACAAACAACAACTGCAGGCAGCATAAAAATGCGTCAAGTTGCAGGCAGGCTGGTTTTTTGGGGTGTAGCTCTGTGGCACGTTCGTTTGTTGCGATGACTGCTGTTTGGTTGCCTGATTGGTTGGCCATATTGATTAACTGGCTGACGTTGCTGCACCATGCGAACCCATTGAATATAATTGATGCCTGGGCACCGCTAATTGTTGTTTCTACTTTTAATTGCAAGCATTACAATTGATTAACTAGTAAGTGGACGATCAACACTGATTAACAGGGCAGCAGACTGAATGCCATATGGTACCTTAATACAGTAGACACATTATATATGTAACCATTTTTGATTTTTATTTAAGCGTATTAATGGATAATATTTTTGTCAAATTTTATTAGTAATCGCTTAGTTGTCATTCCTATTTTTTTCTTCTTTAAAACTCTAATTTAGAAAATGTTTTTTGTGTATTTTAAATCATTAGAGTTATTCTCTTAATATAGTTTATTCTTTGTAGGAGTATTTGTAATTAAATAATCTTAAATTGTTCCCTTGCTTTGTTGCTCATAAATTAAGGTTGCCCTCTTGTGTGGCATATTTTTGAGCACCTCTTGCGGTTGGTTCTCCAAAAGGAAACCCAGCAAAGCGAAAAGATACAACCGCAATGATAATTTCATGAGTTTTTTTGGCATCCGTAAAATGCAGCCGAAATGGAGAGCGAGAGAGAGAAAAAAAACGTTAAAAAACGTTGAAACAATTGCAGTAATGCCTTATATTAGAGCAGTTAAATTCCGCCTCATTTATTAAAGGGGCTGTCTCTGAGTCTCTGAGGCTCTGCACTATAATCACAGTTGGAAATTGGAGTTTTAACAAAGGGCATATCGAGTGCCTGACAAACCCAATCAAATTTCATTTTCTTCGCTACGTCGACTCGGTTAGTTTTTTTTTTTCATTTTTTGCACTTGGCATTTTATTTGATTTAACCTTTTTTTCTGCTTTGTAAGTTTTTTTTTCTTATTCTTTTCTTTATGTTTATTCGTTGGCCGGTTTTTTCTTCTTTTTTTTTTTGTTGTTTCTTATTTTTTTGCGTTAATTTTCTTTTGCTTTAATTGCGCTGAATGCGCTGTAAAAGGCGGCGGCTTCAACGTTGACTCTGAGTTGTGATCAATTTGGAAACTCATTGAAAAACGTTTACGGGCAATGTGCATAAATTAGCTGCGCTTGCCAAAAACTCGCCAAAACCAAAAGCGAATCAACAAAAATAATGAAAATAAAATAAAATACACAAAAAAAAAGAAAAAAACAGTGAAGGAGACTTACCTTAGCGCCAATCTGGTTGCCGCACTGTCCAGCCTGCAGATGCACAATTTCTCTCATTTTGATTTATGGGCTTGAATGTAACAATTTAACAATTCTGAATGCGTGGGACGGCAAAAGTCGACAAAAGTCGGCAAAAGTGCAGGCGTGGTCCTTAGCTCAACTAAAATTCAATTCAACTGAATGGAACCTGAACCAGAACCTGGATGCTGGCTGCTGGCTGGATACTGTGCTTATTCTCTCTCTCTCTCTGTGTGAGTGTGTGCGCCTGTGTGTGTGTTCTGAATATTTGTGTGTGATTTTTTTTTGTATCTATGTGTATTAGTGTGTGTATGTGTGTGTTTGTGTATGGTGCACTGATTGATCTCACTTGTGTGAGTCTTGAAGGGGGGCCGGAGCAGAACAAACAGAACGCGCTACAACTGAACCGCACAACGCACAAAACTCAACTGATCGCAGCGACAGCACCGGCAAAGGCCTCAGAGTCGAGTCCCCAGTTAAAGTCCCAGCTACCCAACCCAGCAGACCAACGATGACGATGACGCTGACGCTGACGGCAACGTCGACGTCGACGTCAACTTCGTTGCTTCGGCTGACTGGCAGAGTTTGCCATAGAGCGAGACAGATGATCGCACACACACACACACACACACACACACACATACATTCAAGTATGTGCCATGCCTAGTTCTTTACTTAGAAACTGTGAATAATTTTCTTTCTTTTGCATTGAAAGCATGCTGCAGTTTCGTACAAAATAATTACTATTTTTAATAATTACTTTAAATAATTACTTGCAATGCCAAATGTTGAAAATATACTGAGAGATATTCAAATATTTTAGTTTGCAAATTGCAATTTTTGGTAATCTTCTATGCAGGAGAAAGAGTTTTGTGACTCTCGCAGACAGAAAGAGAGAGAAAGAAAGAGAGAGAGAGAGAGAGAGAGTGAGAGGGAGAGAGAGAGAGAGAGAGAGTGAGAGGGAGAGAGAAAGAGTATCACTGAGGAAAATTGCTCAAGCAGTGGGGCCGCCCGTAAAGTTCTGTAATGGGACAGCTTTTGACCATACTCTGTAAAAGCGGTATTAAGGTGAATATCGTTTAAAAGGGTCTTCAAATTAGACTTGCAATTCTTGGCTAATATGGCTAAATAAGACTCAAATTAGCACTCAATCCTTATGGATCAGTAGGATATATTTGATAACCATTCAGCGTTATATAGTTTATAAGAAAATGTAGGCATGTTTTAATTTACCAAAGTAAGATCAATTTAGTATATATTTGGAAACAAATTTTTTGTCAAATTTCATATTTATAATAGAAATATTGCAGAAAAGTGATGAGCAACGAAATTCATTATTTTTCTCTAAGTGTTGCATGTTCTCTATAAGAAAAAGCATTAAATATTTGTTATCTAAGAAGATTGGACCTACAAGTACCTCTTATTCGTCTTCTTCAGATAGAAATCTGCAACACATTTGAAAAATGGTCAAATTTATCATGTTTTTTTTTTGAGTGAACTGCCAGCTTCAACAGCTTATCTTTTTTTTAATGCATTCTCAGTTTTTAAAGTCTCTTATTATTGATATATATTATATATATTAGCTTATCTTTAAATCATTATCTACATGGAGACAGGGTATCTCAGACAGCAGCCGCACTGACTACTTGGCTTTTTTACTTGTTTATTATGGCAACTTCAATCACTCGAACACGACAGGCCAAATGCCAAAACAACAAATATAACGAGGCTGCTATTTTGGTTTATGTGTGTGTTCCGAATACATATATATATATATATATACATATATATATGTGTATATGTGTATGTATATATATATTTATTTATGTATATATGTTTGTATGAATGCCTGAAACTGTAGATGTTGAATATTTGTATTTGTATCTTTAGCAATGCATGTGCATTTCCATTTGTGTGTGTGTGGATGTGTGTGTGTGTGTGTGTGTGTGTGTGTGTGTGCGTGTGTGTATTAAGCTGTCCGCTTTCGCAGCTGAGCGACGGCATCCCGCCGCCTTTTCCTGTTCTAAGTTCACAAATTTTCACGCTGTCAACTGCAGAGCGACGTGGCACGTTCTAATTTTATCAGCACAGACTGCACAGGTATGCAGCAGCTCAAACACACTGTCTCCATCTCACTCTATCTCTCTCCATATCTATCTCTATCTCTCTCTGTCTATCCCTTCTGTGTGTGTGTGTGTGTGTGTGTTCACTTCCACAAAAGTGTCACCGCAGTCATTAGGAGCATTCTTATTTGGTTTCTACATATGTTTTTGCTTTCATTTGGTTGCAGCACGAAAATGCATTCAACTTGCATCTATTTTTGGTTGCACTTCGCTGCGTTTAGTGGCACTCGAGTGCTGCGTCGCTTTCCTTGGAAATCAATCAATGCCCCCTCGAGTATTTTAAACAATTTGTAGTCGCTTTACTTTCTAATTACTTTCAAGTTGAAAGGCGCTGCCTTTAGACTTGCATTTTCCGGCCATTTTCAAGTGCTTTCCATCGTTATGTTGGCAGTCAAACCACTAAACTCACATTAATCCAATTTGCAGGCCTACGCTTGTGTGTGTGTGTGTGGCTAAATTTAAATACACCATCAAATAATCTCCAATTTACGAGCATGAATAGTTATTAAATGTTATACATTTATTCACAACAAGCGCTGCAAACAAAACACAGTACAAATTGCTCCCTGGTTCCTGGTCCCTGGCTCCTTTTGCCTCCATGCTTTTGAGCCCTAATGCAAGTGCCGTTTTAGGCCAGAACAAATACCACTAACGGACAACAAATACTTTGACAATTTTTGGTTAGCAAAATAAAGGCAGACTGATGACATTTTCAAAATGGACGTAGTTGGTGAAAATTTGAAGGGGATTTGCTTAGACGAAATAGAAAATTATCAAATAGGAAATGATAAAAAAAAGCATTTATATCTCAAATAAAAGAAGTAATGATAATAGATATAAGTATTTCATAATCTTTAACAGAAAAAGCTAGTTTTGAATATATTTCTCATAAGCTCATTCTGCTTTTGGATTTAAAGAACTTTACGATCAACATTCAACGTTAACTTATTTAATGCCCAGTCTTTACTGCTTGTACGCTTGATCCTTAAAGCTGTTAACTTTAGTTGTGTGATATATCAAAAAGTTTTCCCTAAGATTAACAACTGGAAACAAGTTGCTGCTTGGGGTGTGATGTTGATGTGTGTGTGTGTGTGTATGTGTGTGTGTGTGTGTGTGTGTGTGTTGTTCCCCTTTGTAAAAGGCTAGAGTTTCCCACGAGCTACGCTTATGTGAACAACAGATACACACAGACACACACAGACAAGCATGCGCCCAATATTTTTGACTCGTTTTGCGCGCACTCAAACACGTGTGTGGTTGAAGTGCACGCCCACCGGCGAAAACCCCCCCACAAAATGTTCACACACATTCACGCGCGCGCGCGCGTGTGTGTGTGTGTGTGTGTTTTGGGAAATTATGCAAAACACACACACACACACACACACACACACACACACACACACAGATAATATATCAAAAATTATAAAAGCACACATATATATGTATATATATATATATGTATATGTGTATATATATGTATATAGATAGATGATAAAAATAAGTGTAAAACATCAGTTTTGCCATCATTTTTTTTGCCAGCAAAATGTTTTCTTGCTGTGAGCATTGTTATGCATTCAATTTGTGTGTGTGTGTGTGTGTGAGTGTGTGTGTGTGTTTTTTTTGTGAGCATTTACAACACTAACACTGTTATGCGCACACACGCATTTATCCGCTTAATTGATTGATTTGGCCTTGTGGTCAATTTTAATTTATTTTGTTCGCTCATCTCTTAATTTTAATGCGCATTTTAAATTATGAAACTTGCTTTGTTGTTTCAATTTTTTTTTTTTTTTTTTCATTTTTTTGTTGCATTTAATTAATTTAGCATAATTGCAAGAGTGTTGTTTTTTTCGTTGTGTCCATTTTTACATCATTTGGCTGCGATTTAATTGAATTTGATTGATTTTTGCTGATATTGTTGATGGAAAAATAATATTGTTGTAAAATCATAACAATTCTGCCCGTGGCTCGTGGCCCGTGGCCTGTGGGGCGGTGGAGTGTGCAGAGTTTGCAGAGTGGTTTGTGGCAATATGGGTGGTTTCATTTATCACACCTGGCCAAAATAAAAACACCGTCTAGCCTAACAATGGCAACACCTGCTCACATTCTCTGTGGGCCTGTGTAAATGTGGGAAAAAGGACAAAATATTGCTGCGGCTGTCGTTTGTTGTGTCTCTGTTGTGCATGTGTTTGGCTAGGGGTAGGTGTGTGTGTGTGTTTGTGGCATACTTTGAGGCGCTTTGTTTGTACAACAACAGGGAAGCTGCCACAGGCAGAAGACACATACATATATAATAATTGTAAGCCCATTGAAATAGCAAACAGATTGAACTGCTGTGAAAATGAATTGAAGCATGGATTATTTATTTCCTTAGAATGCTATTGCACAAAGCTCTCAAATAGTTAGCTATCTTAAGTCTTTGTTAGACCAAAAAAATAAGTGAGAAATTATGTGTTGAATTTCTTTAAGAATATTTAATTTATTTGCGCAAATAAAAAAGAAAAATTTAGTTGTCATAAAATGTTCTTGGAATAGTGTTTATTTTTAAAATGATACAGCTAAATATATTATTGGCATCTAAACTGTATTATATATTTTTGAAATGGATTTTTTTTAGCTAACTTGTCCTCAGCCTACTCGTAAATGTTGAAACTTGCTGCAAGCAGTCTGCTTTCGCTTCAGGTTCTAAGAGGTCACTGAAGGGTATCATAAATAAAACTCAAATTAAATTCCCAGTTGCTTTTTTCGCTGTTTCCTGTCAACACTCAAAACTGTTAGCTAAAATTTATGCAACTCATTTTTCAGCGAGGGAGGTTTGATTTTTTCTTTCGGTTTTGTTTCCCTGCAAGCCAACAGCTGTTGCAGTTGGCTGGAATAATAGTTTTTGCTGCCAATTAGTTGTTACACTAATTGCAAGAAAAAAGAGCGTCAATTATGCAACGCTGGATGACAAGCAACATAAAGCATACAACTACAATTATGTACAACAAGCAACAAGCTGCACATTAAATGGTTATTTAATTGATGCTCATACGCCGCGTGTGCTGCCGCCGCCGCCTCCTTGCACCTCTCAACAAATGGGGGACGTAGGAAGTATGAAATCGGTGGCAAGGTTTCAGCTTTATGTGCGCGCCGCAGTAATTTCAATAAATCTTGGCAATGCCCCCTAAAAAATATTAGAATAATAAAAGCGCGACAACAAAACAGAAGGGTCAATATCGGCACACTTGCAAAAGGACGAAACCGTCGAAGTCCTTTTGGGCTGTAGGCGAACGCATTGGCACATTTACACACAGCGTCCTGGCCAAAATTTATGACAGCAACAAGCGGCTGCCGGATACGACGAC